ATTTATGTTACCTATGTGATTGACTCACTGTAACTCTATTAGATAGCACTGCCAAAATGAAGGTGATGTTTATACAAGAGGAAGGAAATTCTCTAAGTTGGCTGGCTTAGTGTTCACCTCTACTCCCATTTTAGAAGGCAGTAGTAGCCTTGACTGTATGTGAGAAATTTGACAATTCTATTGAGATTTTGGAATAACAGCTCCAAAATTCTTTCTGATTCTGTCCACTGCAGAGTAGCTAGGTTTGGAGCCTTCCTATCACCAAAAATAGCTATAAAAGCTAGGCAAAACCAAGAAAACAAAGGATGCAAGGCACTGGAGAGCAACAGCATGGACAGGCTTCGAGGAGCCCGTCCTCTGGAGGAGCTGGGCAGGCCCGATGTGTCCCAGTTTACTTGAAGAGTTTCTGAATTGCAGTCCAGGAAATAAAACAAAGCAGAAAGTGATTGTTTCTCTTAACCGAGGAGACAGGAATCAGAATTTGAGGCTGCCTAGGTGCCTGGAATTTAAAGGCAAAATCCCAGAAAGAAAGGAATTGAAGGGAAAAGGCTCAAAATGCTGCATTCAATTTTTCCTTCATTGGCTGATTACCAAGATGTGCTGTTTTGAGGGAAAACAAAGCCAGCCTGTGGGAGGCTAAAGCCTTGCATGGGAATTTTGGCAGCCATGCTGTGCTGGGAAGTCAGAAATGGGAGCGAATGCCTAGTAGGAAGTGTGTAGGGAGGCAGGGCTGGTGTTTTAGCCCTTCCACCCCCGCCGGTCCCCCAGCTTCCAGGTGAGACCACAGAAAACCTCGCCCTAGGATTAACGGTCTCGCCAGCATGGGTTTCACAACCCATGAATAAGAGCAAATGTGAAGTATGCCCCAGCTTCAGGTAGGTCTTAATGATGTCTAAAACCAAGCCACATTGCCCAGCTTGCTGCTGTCACCCCTCTCCAAGCATAGGAACCCTCCTCCAGCTGGCCTTGGCCTTTGCCCAGCTTGCTCTGCAGAGCTGCCTGTCCCTTAGCCAGCACTCTGTATGCTGATGACCACAGTGGTGATGTCTGCTAAGGCGAGGCTCACCTCTGGTCATTTTTTCCTGACTTGTTTATCAAGTTTTGGTCACTCATTCTTCCACATGAATTAAACACACATCTTTTTCAGTTTCAGAAACAAGTGTGTCCTTTGCCAAAGAGCAAGCTAGGATCGCCCATTAATACACATGAGGAGAGAAATGGCAAATGGGTAAAGTGGAAAACTCCATTTTCATTTCGAAGCTGTTCGTGACCAGATGGCATGCAGAGAGCCCAGCAGTGCTCAGTCCAGATGTGGTAGGCTCACTCACCGCACAGCCTTCCTTTAGCTCACACAGCTGTGCAGACGCTCCTCCCTGGGTTAGGAAGCAGGGAGAGGTGAGGGGAACCAGGCCCTGCCTCAGATGCTGCTGGCTCACTAGGAAGCCAGTCAGCACTAGAACTGGGTGGAATAGAACAGGGGGTATGTAGATTGACAACCAGCACTAGCAGAATGAAACTCTCACCAGGGGGGATGAAAGGAGGCATCACAGGGATACTGGCGCTCCGGCAGTGGATTAAAAGATGGACATGGTCTCATGAGTAGCTAAGAAGAAGCAGAGGGAATTTGTGAGCAAAACCCAGGAGTGGGAAAGAAAAAATTATCCAAGGCATGGTTGTAGGTGTGGTTTGAGGTGGGAGATGTGAACTGCCAGAATGACACTCCAGTAGGGCAACGTGGGATGCAATGTGCCCCAGAGGGAGCGGCAGGGTGCAGGCAAGGCACAACTCCAGGTGATGGGGAGGGGCAGATGAGAAGAGCATAGGGATGGGAATGGGGGTGAGTAAAAAGAAGTTATTGGCTGTGACTATTACACTAATTTCCATTGCATAAATGGAAGAATTCGCATTTCTAGATTTGAAAAGTTGCGAGAAGGAGTCTTAAAAATTAATTTCATTAATCAGGACAGAATGTGTTCAAAAGACTGCTTTGGTTTCAGAGTCTTGGTGATATAAGCCTTGACTGTGTGCCCACCTAAATCTCATCTTGAATTGTGGTTCTCATAATCTACACGTGTCATGGGAGAAACCTAGTGGGAGGTAATTGAATTATAGGGGCGGTTACCTTCACGCTGTTCTTGGGATAGTAAGTTCTCACGAGATCTGATAGTTTTATAAGGAGCTTTTCCCCCTTTGCTTGGGACTCATTCTCTCTTCTGCCACCCTGTGAAGAGGTGCCTTCCACCATGACTGTAAGTTTCCTGAGGCTTCTCCAGCCATGCAGAACTGTAAGTCAATCAAACCTCTTTTCTTTATAAATTATTCAGTCTTGGGTGTTTCTTCATAGCAGTGTGAGAATGGACGAATACACCCGGTAAGAATCTGTCCACAGACCTCCCCATTTGCTCCTTTAGGGTGGGAGTCCTCAGTGTTTCTTTTTAATTATTTTTGTGATCATCCAGCCCACAATGTCGGTCCCAATGTTTTTGACTGCACAAGTTTAAAAAAAATTGAGGATGCACTTCAAATGTGTGTATATTTGTTATTCATGCATCCTCTGAGGACTTATGCATACCATTATTCTAATATATTTGCATACATTATAAAAACATGCAATAAGAAATAGTATATTTTAGGCTGGGCACGGTGGTTCACCATAATCCCAGCACTTTGTGGGGCTGAGGCAGGCGGATCACGAGGTCAGGAGATCAAGATCATCCTGGCCAACATGGTGAAACCCTGTCTCTACTAAAAATACAAAAATTAGTTGGGCATGGTGGCACGCACCTGTAATCCCAGCTGCTCAGGAGGCTGAGGCAGGAGAATTGTTTGAACCTGGGAGACGGAGGCTGCAGTGAATCGAGATCCTGCTACTATACTCCAGCCTGGGTGACAGCGCAAGACTTCGTCTCAAAATAGAATAATACAAAAAAAGAAATACTGATATATATATTGTCAAAACAACAACAACAAAAACGAGATTTTGGCCCAAGACCCCAAACCGACCTCAAATCCTTTCCCTCCCAAGACATGAATGGTGGAGAGGTCTCAGAGAAGCAGCTCCTGCCTGGTTTTTTCAGTTGAGGAAGGTCATCTTCTACTAGACAAAAACATCTGAGGGAACAAAATGTTTGTTTAAGACTTCAGCTGTATTGTCTCTAGAGGCTTCAAACTTCTTTAGAAATTAGGCATCTTCTTAGAAGTGATTGATTTTTATGGTCATCTGGAATATTTAAAATCAGAACATTCTATCTAGCCAAGTACTGTGCCCCCTCACATCCATCTTTCAATGGAAGTTTCAGAAAGGCAATCCTTTGTTCAATTTTACTAAGAAAAATCTCAGCTTCAGTTCAGTCACTGGGAGGATGTGGTCTAGGGAGCAAATAGTTTCTGAGACCCTGTCTTCTGAATGTGAAAAATCCTGGTTAGCTGGTAGGAATCCTAGAGCTCCAAGCAGGCAGCCCTCATGTGAGTCTTGTAGGTGAGAGCTCCACATGTGGACCGCATGTGTTAGTGAAACAGTCATTCACAGTTCAAAGCCATTTGAGAATGCACAGGTCAGCTCCATTATTCGTGGAGTCTATTTGTGATTTTGCCTACCTGCTGAAATCTATTAGTAACCCTTACCTGCTGAACCAGTTCTCACGGTATGTTTGTGGTCGTTCAGACATGTGCAGAGCAGGGGAAATTGGAGTCACTAGCACCTGTGTTCCCAACTGAGCCAGGGCAGGACCTGTGTGTTCCCTGCCTGTTCCAGCTCTTGTGCTGTAAACAAGTGTGCTTCTCCTGATCTATTTTGCCATGTGTTTCTCGTTTTTGTGCTTCTGCTGGTGATTGTGCGGTTTCAAATGGCCTTTGAGCATAGTGTAGAGTGCTTTCTGGTGTTCCTAAGAGTGAGAAGGCCATGATGTTCCTTATGGGGAGAATATGTGTGTCAGGGAAACTTCCTTCAGGCGTGGGTTATGGTGCTATTGGCTGTGAGTTCCCTGTTAACCAACAATTTACACTAATTACATTATCTTTAAAAAGAAAGACCTGGTGGCACATCCTACCCTCATCCCTCAGTGGCCTGCACACCTCCCTCCATGGAGACCAGTGTTGGAGAACCCAGGTTTTCACCCCAATGCTTTTGACTGTAAAAGCCTTTGCAGTCTGACCTCAGAGTATCTGTGCAAAATTCCCTGTTGAGGGGGCCCACAGGGCTTCACAAGATTTCCAAATGGTTTATGAACCACAGACACTTCAGACTCAGTTCTCTTGAGAGTGGACACAATTGTAAAGGTCTTTTTTAAAAAAATATTGATGTGAAAGTCACATCACAGAATTAATCATTGAAAGCGAACAGTTCAATGACATTTACTGCATTGGCAGTGTGGTGCAACCACACCTCCGTCTCAGCCCAAAACATCTGCATCACAACACTATCCCCTGCAAAAGGAACCCTCTGAGGATTAAATAGTTGCTTCCTGTCTCCCGCTTTCCCCAGGTCCTGCTAGCAATTCGTCTAATAAATTTACCTATTCTGGACATTTCACAAAAATGAAATCATACAACATGTGAATTTTGCATCTGATTTTTTTTCCACTTGGTGTCATGTTTCCAAGGCTCATAAAGTAGTTTTTACAACAATGATCACGATAACAATGAGAATGACACAACAGCAGGAAATGCTTAAGCTCCTACAGGTGTGGCTCTGGCATGCCTTGGAACAGCCATTCTCTCTTGAGGGCCAGGGCTCAACTCCCTCCTCCACGTTGTAAATGGAGTATACTCTTGGGGTCCAAGATTGGGGGAGGTTCATAATCTGTAAGGGCCGAGCACAGAAACCCTGCAGACATGCCTCACAGTGGTCTCTATCATGGGACCCTTCCAGAGAGATGTCCTTGATCACAGGAACCTCCTCTATCAACTGAAATCTTTCTCTATAGCATTTCTTCAGAATTTGGAAGACAAGGTTTTTCAGGACCCTTGAGGTGTTCTCTTGCGTGAACTCAGGGGCCTCAAACAGAGGTTGGGGGCACTTCTTACAGCTCTGGGTAAACACCCTCATCTTCACCTGGCCCCTGGACTTCTCCTCACTCCAGTGCATGTGGAAAAGGACCAGAACTTGGCTAGAGTTCCAATTGCGAGAGCAGGAGGAACACTGGAACCTGTGGAGACAGAAGAGAGCCTCAGCCTGGCCACATCATGGGGTGCCGCCAGAGAAAGAAAGGACCTACCAACCGCATGGAGACGTGACCTGACTGGGGCTGTGGCTCAGTGGTGGAAGAAATTACTAAGACCTCATTCCTGTCTCCATCGTGCCATCCATGTGCTGCATGTCCGACAGTGTCTGCTATGAAAGCAGTGAACCAGAAGCTGGCAGAGCTGGGAGGGACCTTGGGCATTGCCTAAGTCCAACATGCTCATCTTGGGGGTGAGGCACACTCTGAAAACTCCTCCTGTCCAGAGACCCAGTGGGTATAAAAGGCATGGCTAGGACTCTGGTCTCCTGATTACAAAGCAAAGCTTCTTCAAATAGGACAGAGGCCGCAAGTGCAACAGCAGCCAATTCAGTTCAGAACCCTGAAATCCACAAATGCATGCAAGTGGGTGTTGATCAAGTTATAGACTCATGGGAGCCTGAAGGGACCAGGGTGTTCCTAGAGAAAAGGCTTTGCCTTTCCCTTGGCCACCCTGGGTTCCCGGTCTGCAGTGTTGCAGGGAGATCACAGTGTCCGACTCTCTCTTCATGTACTCCCCCTCCAACCCAGGTCCTTTGCTCGAGGTAGCCTGGAAAACTTCATATTTTGAATGCCACCGGCTTCAGACAGGGTACAAGGGAATGACATCTTGTCTCAGCAGGGAGGAGGGCAACTTTCTGAGCTAAGGTATCTGGAGAGATACACGTTAGGAGGTAGAGTGAGAAGGCAGGAAGCACATGGCGGCACCCAGGGGAGGAATTTTGGGAGAGGCAGAGGGCTGCAAAGTGTGGCGAGGACATTTAGTCCTCACCAAATTATCCATGCACTCCCTCCCACTTCCCAGCCCCTTTGCAGTGAGGTTGTGGCCTTGGGACCAGTTGGCCAATGAGATGACGCCAGCACTGATAAACGTTCCTTCCAGATATGCTCACAGAAGCTCTGGTAAGACATTCCAGCTCTCTCTTCCTCTGCCTTGGTGACCTTGGAAGCCACATGTAAGGTTAAATCAGTGATATTACCAGTTTTATGTGTCACTGTAGCTGAGCTTAGCCTTGGCTTGATGCCTGGTTACAGAGAAATTAGGCTGCGGGTGGTGAATTGGAGGGGATTGAGAAGAATGAGTTAGGCCAGGGTTTGCTCCTTGACTCTAGCAGCAGCTCACAGGGTGAATGCGAGGTTGAAATGAGAGGGAGAGGCCAAGAAGCTGTGACCACTGCGAGAGCACGTTGGTGGCAGCCACCCACAGTCAGCAGTGCAGAGGGGCCTGGGCCCGGCTGAGCAGAAGTCCACTGCCATCCCCTGGGTCTCAGTGCTCTGCTTCTGTGCTGGCTCGGAGTTCCAACTTCCCACAGATAAATGGACGGAGACTTCGGTGCAACGGTCCCCGTGGCAGCTCCTGGCCTGGGAAAGCTGTAGGCCAGCAGGAGAGCTCTGCTCCCTCTGTGTAGACTTTCCCCGGGAGGGGGCAGCAGGTGGGACAGAGTCCCCTGCCTTCACCCTCTGTGCACTGTGGGTAGTCACCCCCCTCACCCTCCCAAGCCTTAGGGCTCCCCATTCCCACATGGAAAAGAAAGGATGAGACTTTGGATGATTTCTGACTCCTATTTTAAAAATATTCTCTCAGCTCAGAGTTGAGAGGGACAGGATTGCTGCCTGTTGCCCAGGCCTCCTGCTCCTCCAGCCTCCCCCACGGGGTCTCCTCCATGCTGTGAGTCACTCCTCCTAGTGGATCCATGATGGGTCCAGGAGTCTCCCTTGGCAGGGGGTACATGCACTGCCCCGTGGGTGCGACAGCTGCCCTTCCTCCCCGCCTTTCCTGGCTACTCCCTGTCCCCACCCCCACAGACTGGTTTCTCTGTATCCAGGCATTAGCTCTCAATAGTGTTCAGGCCGGCTCATATTTGGTGGTTCATTGTAATAGTGAAAAAAGTCTTTTTTTTTTTTTTAAAGACGGGGTTTCACCATGTTGGTCAGGCTGGTCTTGAACTCCCGACCTCAGGTGATCTGCCCGCCTTGGCCTCCAAAGTGCTTGGATTACAGGCGTGAGCCACCACGCCAGGCTGTAAAAAATACTCTTTAATGAAGTTAAAACTTCTTGGATGACGGGCATCTTACTTCCCACAGTCTTCCACTTGCAAGCATGGAATGGAACAAGAAAATAACAGGTAAACCTAGTAAGAAATGAGGAAGGATTTTCTGGAATGCATGCCATTGCATTCCCCCTCACCTGGCGGAGGTCCACTGCTGGTATTGCATCCACCCTGGCTTCAGGACGTCGGGAAGAAGGCCTCTGTCTGGCGTCAGGGCCCATCTGTGCCATGGCTTCACCTCCCGCATTAACTCCTGAAACATCTGCTTCCATACTCCTGTGTCCCAAGCCATTTCTGCTGCTGTGGTGTGCCTGGGTGGGTCGAACTCTCCTGGGCCCTGGCAGGTCTGTAGTGGGAGATGAGATTTCTCACTTCAGAGGATGAGGGCTCAGACCTGCTCACCCTTTGAGGACCTGGATTGGGCCCATGGACCACGTCTCTGCCCCAGGGACAAAGGCCAGTTGGCTCCAAGTTCAGAGGATGGCACTAGGTTCCACAGGTGCCTTGGCTTGATGCCTGCTTACAGAGAAATTAGGCTGCGGGTGGTGAATTGGAGGGGATTGAGAAGAATGAGTTAGACCAGGGTTTGCTCCTTGTGAAAGACACAGAACTCGTGATTTTATCCATCAACATGTTGCCACAGAAGAGCTCTGAACTCCAAATCAGGAGGGGTGAATTTGAGTCTGGCTTTGCTGTCTACCTGCCTACAGCCGGGAACGCATGTTTTCGCTTCTAGCACCCCTGTAAATGGTGGAGAGAGGCTGCAGTCGTTCTTTCCAATGTTCTTTTTAACATTGCAAAATCCTTCTCCATCAGGCTGCTGTGCTCATGCTGGGCAGGAGAGACACAGGGAAGAAGGATGCAGTGGTCCTGGGACCTCACCGGGATTCAGATTCCCATGTCCTTGCTCCAGGCTCTTTTCATTCTGGCAGACACCCAAGGCTGCCCACCCATGAGAAATCAAAGCTGATGTAATCAGTGTTTGCCTGGGCAACAGGTACAAGGGCACAGGTCGGTGAGAGGCCATTAGCCCTAGCCCTAGGCAAACCCAGAGTCACTGCCCTTCTTTCTGAGGGGATTCCTCATCCTCCACTACCTGCAGGAAAGGATTGAGGAAGAAGAAGAGGGAGGATTAGGGAGTGGGCACTGGAGTGGGCAACACCCCAGGAAGGTACACAAGACTCTGGGTATCCGCACCCCAAGACCTGTCCACAAACTGCAGGTGTATTCCTCTGAGCCAGACACTGACCTGTGTCCCTGGCCACCTCTCAAGAGGAGCAGAGGAAGGAAGGGAGCAGGGCAGGGAGGAAAAAGGAAAGTAAGCTGGGGATGCACGGGGAGAGGGGTTCTTCTGGGGCAGTTGGAAACAAAGCCACCCCTTCCTCCTTTCCAGCCCAGCTTCCTGCAGCTCTTGCTCTTGGGTTCAGCTCCTTGGCAGGCTCAAGTCCTGGGTCTCCCCTCTTTCCAAGCCAGTTTAGTTTCTCAGCATTAGGGCTGTCCCTCTGTTCCTGGGGGACTGGTTCCAGGGCCCCCTGCAGATACCAAAATCCTCAGATGCTCAGGCCCCTTATGTAAAATGGCACAGCACTTGCACATCCTTCTGTATACTTTAATTGATCTCTACATTACTTATAATACTTAATATGATGTAAATGATATGTAAATAGTCGTTATGCTGTATTGATTTTAAACTGCGAACTAAAAATAAGATCCTAAGCCCCTGAACCAACTAATGGACCTGCTTTTGCCCAAGGCGACTCCTGAGAAACTTGAAAAACTAAAGACCCAGCTCTGACAGGGGGGGAGGTTGAACACACCTTATCATTCCTCCTCCCTTTGGAATTTAGGGACAAGCGACCAGCACTGAGGTTAAAACAGACATCATAAGACTGACAAAATAGACTGCTTGTCGAAATAAGACAACCAAATTATAAACACGACCTAAGGCCATGCATGGTAAACGCTGTACCCTACAAACTGTAGTATCTCATTAAAGGGGGTTTCATTAACCTGCTCTAATGGGGCTGTTTTCCAATCTGACTCGGTATAGCGTCGCATGCCAGAGAGCTGACCTCCTTAACTTAAGCATTCCTTTTGCTGACTTTGTCTGTACACAACGCTTAAGTCATTCAACCCACTGCTAATTAAAGAATCCCTAAAACCCAGCTGTGACACATAAATCCCCCACTTAGAGAGTAACCCCACCTTTTCAGGTGCACTTTCTCAGGTCCTCTTGAGACTGTTCCCCAGGCCATGGTCATGTACATTGGCTCAAGATAGACTTCTTTAAAAATATTGTACAGAGTTTTCTTTTTTTCCCCTGCATCTACAGCATCCTTGACATAAATAACTCCATCCTAGAGAAAGGCTCCTTCTTAGATTTCAAAAGGCATCGTGCCAACAGGCACCAACTGATATTTATCAACACAAATACAAGCCTGCATCACGACGTCTTACCTGGCAAGGGCAAGGCAGGCTCGGTGCTCCTTTCCCTCCCTCCAGGGGATGGCTTTGGCATGACCCTCCACACATTCATCTCAGCCTTCCAGCCCAGAGGCCATTCTCCTTGGAACAAGGTCAGTGTGTAGCTTGGACACTCACTGCCACTCTTTCTGAACACTGGGCTGGGCCCTTGTGTGCTACTGGGAGAAGCCCATCTCTGAAAGTTGGGGCTTTGTACCCCAGGGCAGGTGGGGTGAGATGGGAGGGGCATGGGTCTCCTCCACTTCCTTGCTGACTTCCAGGTGGCCTTAAGTCAAATCTTTGTTTGCTCAGGGATAATATAAGTATTTTTCCAGCTCAGGTCATGCTCCACGCTCACCACTTGGACACCCCCTTCCTTTTCCCTGCAGATACTGTGCACTAGCAGTGATGCCAGGCATGATATTGTGCCAAGGGCACACAGTTAGATAATTTTGAATGAATGGAGGAATTTCTGCACCCTCTGGGGGAAACATCTTGAACTGCTGCCTCTGTTTCTCCCTTTAAGTGTTCATGTCAGGATCACCAAGCACTGAGTCTAGCAGGGTGAGAGGAAGTGAGCTCTTGGGCAGAAAGCCTGGGTCTCCAGGAGCTCCAAGAGACATGCCATCAATGTCCAGAGTGTCAAGGACAGTAACTGTCATTAGTCAGACAATTTATTTGTGTGCGCAGGTGTTTGTATGTCAGAAACTACTTTTAAAGCCCCCATTCTGGGGGTGGGTAATCAATAGAACAGACGGAATCTGGGAGCTCCTCAGGCCTGCTAGCCACTCTCTGCTCTGGTTCCTGCCCTGTGGTGTGTGCAGACCCTGATAGCTCCCCTGCAGCAGGGAGAGCCCCACCAGGCTGCTCTCCTCCATACCTGCCAGGTGCGGCATAGCCCTTCCAGCAGAAATGGCAGCCAGCACTTATCGGGGCTTTGGTGTGAACCTAGTTCAATTTCTTTTTTGAACCAGGTCAGTTTCCTTTTTTTTTTTTTTTTTTTTTATTTGACACGGAGTCTCACTCTGTCACCCAGGCTGGAGTACAGTGGCGAGATCTTGGTTCACTGCAACCTCCACCTCCCAGATTCCAGTGATTCTCCTGCCTCAGTTTCCCGAGTAGCTGGGACTACAGGTGCATGCCACCACGCCCGGCTAATTTTTGTACTTTTTAGTAAAGATGGGGTTTCACTATATTGGCCAGGCTGAAGAAAGTCCATTTTAAGAGCATGAGTTAATGTGAATATTTCTAATTAAGTGTTTTTTTTAAAACCTTGCTGTAATGTAAGTGGATATTAATCAACATTTCCTTCTTTCAACTAACACTGGTGTGCTGATATCTGTTATCATAACAACAACAACAGCAACAAAAATGAGGCTTCAGGCCAAGACCCTAAACTGACCCCCGAAACTCCTTCCCCTTCCCAAGACAGGAGCAGTGGAGAGGTCCCACATACTGCAGCAGCCCTGCCCGATGTTTTCAGTCAAGGAAGGTCATTTTCCATGAAACAAAAATATATTTGAGGCAACAAAATGGATATTTAAGCTTCAGCTGTGTTGTCTCTATAGACTTCAATTCAGTGTCTTTAAAAATTAGACATCCCCTTAAAAGGAACTGATTTTTGTGATCATCTAGAATATTGAAAATCACAACTTTTTTTTTTTTTTTTTTTTTTGAGATGGAGTCTTGCTCTGTTGCCCAGGCTAGAGTGCAATGGTGTCATCTCAGCTCACTGTAACTTCTGCCTCCTGGGTTCAAGCAATTCTCCCTGCCTCAGCCTCCTGAGTAGCAGGTACCTACCACCATACCCAGCTGATTTTTGTCGTTTTAGTAGACACGGGGTTTCACCATCTTGGTCAGGCTGGTTTTGAACTCCTGACCTCAGGTGATCCACCCGCCTTAGCCTCCCAAAGTGCTGGGATTACAGGCGTGAGCCACTGCACCTGGCCCAAAATCACGACTTTCTATCTAGCCAGGTGTTGTGCCCCTTTATATCCATCTTTCAACAGAAGTTTCATAAAGTCAGTCCTTTGTACAGTTTTACTAAGAAAAATCTCAGCTTCAGTTTAGTTACCGGGAGAACACTTGGTGCAAGGAGTGAATAGTCTGAGACCCTGTCCTCTGAACATGAACAATCCTGGTTAGCTGGGAGGAACCCTAGAACTCCAAGCTTAGTTCTCACATGAGCCTTGTGGTGAGAACTCCACAGGTGGACCCCATGTGTTAACTAAACAAGGTTCTTCACAGTTTAAAACCATTTGAGAATGCACGGGTCAGCCCCATTATTCATGGAGTCTGTATTTGTGAATTTGCCTATGTATTACAATCTATTTGGAACCCCCAAATCAATACTTATGGTGCTTTTATGGTCATTTGCAAGCCTGCAGAGCAGGGGAAATTGGAGTCATCAGTGCCCCTCTTCCCAGCTAAGGCAAAATAGGGTGTCCCTGCCTGCTTGTTCCAGTTCTCATACTGTAAACAAGCATCCTTTTCCTGGTCTGTTTTGACACATTTTTCACATTTTTGTGCTTTTTTTTGTTTGTTTGTTTGGTGTCTTTGCTGCTTAAAATGGCCCTGAAGCACAATGCTGAAGTGCTGTTTAGTTTTCCTAAGAGCAAGAAGGTTGTGATGTGCCCGACAAGGAAAATAGGTATGTGAGAGAAGTTTCATTCAGGCCTGGGGTATAGTGCTGTTGGCTGTGAGTTCCATGTTAATGCATCAGCAATTTGTACTGATTAATGTGTCTTTAAGTGGAAACAATGTAAGGTCGTGTATTAACCAAACTGTTGTGACCAGGGGTTTGCAGGAACCTAACCCTATATTTCCCCTAGGAGCAAAGGCTCAGTATTCACTAGTCCAGTGATCATGGCAGCATTATAGAACATAACTACTGGAAACAGCAAGATCAGCCACATCCCCTGTTGTTCCCCTAGTTAT